CAAATAAAGATTTTTTAAAAATGTGTACATGGGGCCAGCGCTGTGGCACTGTGAGCTAAGTCTCCCCCTGTGGCACCAGAACCCCATGTGGGCACCGGTTCAACTCCTGGCTGCTCCTCTTCCTATCTAGCTCCCTGCTGTGGCCTGGGAAAGCAATAGAAGATGGCCCAAGTGCTTGGGACCCTCACCCTCATGGGAGACCTGGAAGAAGCTCCTGGCTCCTGGCTTCGGATCGGCTCAGGTCCAGCCATTATGGCCATCTAGGGAGTGAACCAGTGGATAGAAGACCTCTCGCTCTGTTTCTCCCTCTGTCTGTAACAACACCTCTCAAATAAATAAAATATTTTAAAAAACACTTGGGCATGGATTTCAGAGTATTGTTTACAACAGCCAAAATACCAAATTGCACACTTTAAATACTATATGTACAATTGGGTATACTTCAAATTATACCCCAAATATACTATTAAGTACAAAGAAACAAAAATGGTAAGTCAAATACTTATACGGCCAAGAAATGAGCCAACGTATCCTTAAAATCTTTTTAAGATTTATTTTATTTATTTGAAAGACAGTGTTATAGAGAGAGGTAGACAGAGAGAGAGGTCTTCCATCCACTTTGTTCACTCCCCAGATGGCCGCAATGGCCAGAGCTGTGCTGATCCGAAGCCAGGAGCCAGGAGCTTCTTCCAGGCCTCTCACGCGGGTGCAGGGGCCCAAGGACTTGGGCCATCCTCCACTGCTTTCTCAGGCCACAGCAGAGAGCTGGATCAGAAGAGGAGCAGCCGGGACCTAGAACCGGTGCCCACATGGGGATGCGGCGCTTCAGGCCAGGGCTTTAATCCACTGCACCACACTGCCAGCCCCTAAAATCTATTTCTAAAGGACAGTGACAAAGAATGGAGAGAATTTACAGAAGAAAAGGGCCACCTATCCCTCACACTCAAAAGCCAGAGGAAAAGATCTTGGGGCTGGCATGTGTGTTGTGAATATCACTGCCGCCCGCGATGCTGGCAGGGCTCCGGTGCCCGTCCTGCCTGTCCCAGCTGCTCCACTTCTGATCCAGCTCCCGGCTATGGCCTGGGAAAAGCACTGGAAGACGGCCCAAACGCTTGGGCCCTGCACCATGTGGGAGACCTGGACGAACCTCTAGGCTCTGGTCTGGTCCAGTCCTGACCGGTGTGTCCATTCAGGGAGTGAACCAGAGGATGGAAGACAGATGTTTTTCTCTGTTTCTCCCTTCCCTCTCTGTAACTCTTTCAAATAAATAAATATTTTTTTAAAAAAGAAAGGGCCGGTGCTATGGCGTAGCGGGTAAAGCTGCCGCCTGCAGTGCTAGCATCCCGTATGGGTGCCGGTTCTTGTCTCAGTTGCTCCACTTCCAATCCAGCTCCCTGCTAACGTGCCTGGGAAAGCAACGCAGGACGGCCCAAGTCTTTGGGCCTCTGAACCCACATGGGATGACCTGAACGAATCTTCTGGCTCCCACCTGACCCAGCCCCAGCTGTTGTGGCCATTTGGGGAGTGAACCAGTGGATGGAAGACCTCTCCCTCTCCCTACCTCTCTCTTTCAAATAAATTTTTTTTTTAAAGAAAAAGATCTTGGATCAATGCAGATTAATCCAGGAGACGCTAACTCCACTGTCCAGCCCAGGTGTGACAGTTACTTTTAGGCGTCAGCTTAGCTAGATTAAGGGGCACCTAGAAAGCAGGTATCTTGGGTGTGTCTGTGAGGGGCTTCCAAAGGCGGTCAGCATGGTCTGAGTGGAGCAGATGGGAAGAGCTGGCCCAGCGCTGGCGGCACTGGCCACTGGCCGGTTTCCGAGGGCTGACTGTGGACAGGCCCCCTGCTCCGAGAGCCGGGCTTGCTTGAGTCCTTGCAGGAACACTAGCGGCTGGCCTCCAGACGCCGGGACTCACGCCTAACGCCCCTCTGCTGGCGCTCACTCGGGCTTCAGGCCTGGGTCTGAGGCCGTTGGACCTGGACCGAGTCAGATTCCGGCATCCCAGGGTCGCCAGCCTGCAGGCAAGCCGCAGTGCGACTTCTCAGCTGCTGCAGCAGCCGGAGCCAGTTCCTCAGGCAGCCCCCGTCACCTGTCTACCACACAGCCCTTCACCAGGCTTCTCCGGCGTGGTCTCCCCGGGAACCTGCTCCTTGCTGAGCTCCGGGGAGGCGTCTCAGCGGGGATGAAGGCTGAGTGTGCTCTGGGCACACTTTCACCCCGACAGAGTCTGGTGAGCACGCTGCAGGCAGGGGAGCCTTCTGCGGAGACTCAGCCGCTGGAGTCGCAGAGAAAACCAAACCAGGAGTGTGGGGACGCTGGACCAAGACCTTCAGGCACCCGGTCTCATTCAACACGCCGCCGCCCGTGCCCGAACACGGTGTCCAACAGGAACGACTGACGCTACACTGTGCAACGGCGACACCTGGACCGCAGCAGCTGAGCTCACTGCAAGGACACGTGGTGGCCAGGACACTCAGCATTACAGGAGGTGGCCGCCTCTGCCTGAGGGTCACTCGCAAGGCCGTTAGAGATGGGTCTGGGCCCTGCATTTTCCAAAACTCTGGTGGTGGCCACGAGCGCAGACAGCACCATCACCAGGTCAGAACACAAGAGGAAAACAGCTGTGGTTCCTCCGTAAACAAACTCTGGAGGGGTGTGTGTCTGTGTGCACGTGTGTGCGCGTGTGTACATGGACGTGTGTGTGCGTACCTCTGCGTGTGCGTGTGGAGTGGGGCGGACAGGGAAAGGAAGAAGGGGAGAGAGAGAGAACAAACTGGGACGAGAACTTGGATACTTTATTGAACTCCATCTGGATTATTAGATCAAAGACCAGGACACAGTGTGACACAAACAAGACCTTTATCAAATAAGAGGCGATACACACCATGGCAGTAAGACGTCCAACTCATTCTTCTTGGCAAGGGTCAGGAAGCACTGCAACCCCGAGCGCGGCACTCAATTCCCGCCACTCCTGTCACTCACGTTCCCCCCGTCCAGCCACCCCGAGCTCATCCCGAGCTCGCTGATGGAGAGCGGACTCCGGCTCCCTGTCCCCACAGCCCCGGCGGGGCACCTCTCGTCACTCACGGTGGCCAGCGAGTTCACCGCTGTGAAGCCTCAGGTGGGGAGCTGGGTGGCCCAGTGGTCAATGCGGCAGGCTCAGGGGCCACTCGGCTGGGGTTTAAGACCCGACTCCTCCACCCGCTAAGGCCAGGACATTAACTTCTCTGTACACCAGTTCCTTCATTCACGCCCAGAATAATAAAAGTTACTGGGAAATCTAAACAGTGAACGCCCTGCGACCAGCGTTGTCTGTTACATCTGCAGGAAATGGGCCCCAGACAAGGAAAGCCCGGCGCTGGCTACCAGGAATTCATCCTTTTCTCCCATCTCCCCCTTGGATGGACAGCAGGACTGTGCTCCCAGGAGCTCTGGTGACAGCCTGGGGGCTCCTCCCTTCACAGGACCCTGCTGCACCTGCCAGCCCTCCCTCCCAGCACTGCTGCAGCCGGGGCCCTCACTCGGGTCAGCACCGCCTTCCGCCTCCGGAGCGCCGCTGAGCAGTAAACTCGGACAGGGGACCACGGTCTCGCCCGTCACCCTGCTCTCCTGCGGTGGGGACAGCTCGGACAGGGGACCACGGCCTCGCCCGTCACCCTGCTCCCGCATGGCGGTGGTTACAGCTCGGACAGGGGACCACGGTCTCGCCCGTCACCCTGCTCTCAGCACACGGCGGTGGGGACAGCTCGGACAAGGGACCACGGTCTCGCCCGTCACCCTGCTCTCCTGCGGTGGGGACAGCTCGGGCAGGGGACCACGGTCTCGCCTGTCACCCTGCTCCCGCATGGCGGTGGTTACAGCTCGGACAGGTGACCACGGCCTCGCCCGTCACCCTGCTCTCCTGCAGTGGGGACAGCTCGGACAGGGGACCACGGTCTCGCCCGTCACCCTGCTCTCCTGCGGTGGGGACAGCTCGGACAGGGGACCACGGTCTCGCCCGTCACCCTGCTCTCCTGCGGTGGGGACAGCTCGGACAGGGGACCACGGTCTCGCCCGTCACCCTGCTCTCCTGCGGTGGGGACAGCTCGGACAGGGGACCACGGTCTCGCCCGTCACCCTGCTCTCCTGCGGTGGGGACAGCTCGGACAGGGGACCACGGTCTCGCCCGTCACCCTGCTCTCCTGCGGTGGGGACAGCTCGGACAGGGGACCACGGTCTCGCCCGTCACCCTGCTCTCCTGCGGTGGGGACAGCTCGGACAGGGGGCCTGACCCGGGGCGGCGTCAGGAAGGAATGCAGGTCCCCGATGACCCTCGGGGACCCTGCTCACCTCCACAGACCCTACTCACTCAGCCGCTGGGACCGGGGGGCGACAGCGCAGCGCACAGAGCGGTCACTCTGTGACCGTAGAAAACGCTGCCTGGAATAACCGGGAAGCCCGACCCCGCACTCAGCACACAGGAACACAGAGCAAAGGCCGGACAGCGGCCGCTCAAGCCGCAGCTGACCCGCACGCAGAGGCGGGGGCCAGTCAGCCAGGAGCCGCAGTCCCCGCCGCAAGCTTAGGGACGGCGCCCCTTCCCCGGAACGCTTCGCTCCCGCAGCCCCGGCCTGCCGACCCCTGCCCCTCCCGGGAGTCTCACTTAGACCCCACCCCGGCTCCGGGTGCGCTCCTCCGTCACCAGCCCATCACCCCGTTCTCTCGGCCAGGGCGGCCGGGCACGCCCTGAGGCGCTCCGCGGGCGACTACGGCGTCCAGACGCGGGGGCGCACGGGGAAGACCCCAGGCTCCGCGGGCCCGGGTCCCGCCTGTTTGCGCAGGCGCACGGCGCCCCGCCCACCTCAGGCCCCGCCCCTCCCGGCAGGTGTGCGCGGGAGACCCGCCCGCTCGCCTCACAGGAAGGGCCGAGCCGGGAAGTGCAAGGCCCGCCCGGGACTCCCCCGCGCGCGCGCCCGCCCGCCATCCCCTCCCTGACGCCGAGGCCCCAGAGCTCACCGCTTCGCTCGTAAGCTGGAGCTCCTCCTGCCTCCGCCGTCGCCACCGGCCCAGCGCAAGGGCGTCCATGCGGCCTCGAGCCCGAGTCCGCGCGGCTCCTCGCGCCCGCCGCGCCCACGGCCACACCCCCTTCCGCACGTGTCCCGTGAGAGCCAATGAGGAGGCGGAAGGGGTGGGGCGTCGAGGGCAGCACGTGAGCCTCCGAGGCGGTGGCCGCAGGCAGGAGTAGTGGAGGCCCGAGTCTCCTGGGGACTAGGGCCCTGTGGGGCTCGCGCGTCTCTCCAGGTCAGTCTTTAGCGACGATTAGCCAGTATGTCCTTTCTCGGTTCACAGAATCAACCGCAGATCCCGAGGAACCCACTTCAGGATCCCCACCACGTCTTGACTGCCGGTTTCCAGAGGATAGAGCAATGCCCGCCTCCTCTGCCTTCTGATTGGCCCCTGCGCCCTATCAGCAGCCTTCTTCCTGTGGCTGACAGATGGCGCGGCAGCCCAATCATTACGGCCGAGGCTGCCGTGGGGCGTCGCTGGGAGTTGTAGTCCCAGGGCGGCCTCCTCACTTCCGGAGTGGCGACCGGCTCTGGACTGCGCGTGCCGGCGTGGTCTGGAGTCGGTGTCTGCGTGGTCTGCAGTGGGGAGCGCCCCGGAGGTGCCCTGCTCCGCCTCCGGGCTGGAGGGCCGCGGGTCCGCTGGCCGCGCAGTAGGGGAAACTGAGGCCCGGCCGGCCGCCGAGGGGCTGCCCGCGTCCGCGGCGGTCGTGCCGCGGGGCTCCCGCACCCAGACCCCACTTTTTGACGGTTTTAGCCGCGGTGGTCCTTGGGCAGAGCCAGGCCGGCAGCGGGTGAGATCCGGCTGGGCGCGGGGGGCCGCGGTCCCCGGGGGGCGGGGGTCTCCTGCGTTCGCTCCCAGGACCCCGCGCTCGGGCCGCCTCGGTGTCTTCGTCGGGAAGCTTGTGGGGACGGGGCGGGGAGGAGTCTGTTGGTGCAGACCGTGTGCAGCCCATGCGTGCCGAGCGTCTCAGGAGCTTTCTTGGGAAATGCGTGTTATTAAAAAAAAAACTGAATTTTAAAATTTTTTGCACCCAGGTAAGCATGCTTTAATTCCGTGCTTCCACGTGTTTCTGCAAGTACCCTGTCCAGGGCACGCGGGAGGGTGCGTGACATAAATTAAGGACTGGAAGTCGGATGCGCCGCCACCGCCAACGCTGCTGCCGTCGCCCCTCGGAACCCGCGGGGCTGCGGGTGCTCCTGGAATCCAGGATTTTTTTTTTTTTTTTGGTGTCTGTAATTCTAAAGGTCTTGCTTCTGTGGATCAGCGGTGTGTTTAAGTTATTCTTCTTACTGCTTCTCTCTCTATTGAAAGAGAGACAAGGGGGAGAGGGAGATCTTTCGTGCACTGGGTCGCTTACCAAGCGGCCAACAGCCGGGAGCCAGGAGCCCGGAGCTCCATCCGGGCCTCCCACGTGGGTGCAGGCGCCCGAGCGCCCATCAGGTGTCAGCAGGAAGCCGGATCTGGAGCGGAGCAGCCAGGACTGGAACCTGCGCTCCCGGGTGGATGCCGCCCGCAAGCTGCAGCTTAAGGCTGCCCACAGGCCAGCCCCTCCTGTACCGCTGAAGGTTGTGTACGGGAATAACTATGCTAATTTTACGTCTCCTTAATTAGTAACCATTAAATAGTTCATCCTTTTCTTGTTAACATTTGAATTCTCTTTATGTCCTGAGCTATCCTTCCATTGGTTGTATGGTAGACAAATCACTTCTCTTGGGCCTTGACTTTTCTGTTGATGGTGTCTTGAGACTCAGGATTTTTACATTTCTAAGCCAAACAAACAATGAGTATTTTGAGTTTAAAAGGGTGATGTGTGCACTGTATTTCATGAAACACCCTAGGAGTATCTGGGACTACCCCTCTAATCAAATAATACTTTGGCAGCTAAAATATATGAATGTTCTCAGATATTCAGCCTACATGGGATATACAGAGACTAAGTATTCTCAATTCAAGTGGGTTTTGTTGGGTCTCAAGCCCGAGGCTGGCCCTGACCAGCAGGGCCCAGTGTAGACACTCCCCAACAAGGTGAACAGGAAGGGTAGGTCCACCAGTGAAGGACACACCACAAGCCCGTGGGCTCTGTGGAAGCAGGAACGCTCTGTTGAGGAAGTGTGCAGGCTTAGAAAGCTTACGAAGGCCGCGCGCAGTAGGGGAGCCAATCAGAAAAGATCACGCAGGCGTGGGTGGGCCACGCACAGGGCACCTTAAGCGAAGTATAGGGATCACGCACCGTCCACATGTCCGGAACCAGAGTGGACCTATCCCTGCCGGTGTTCTGATCTCCTGTAGCTTAACCGCGACAGCCGCAGGCGCCGTATTGTAACGGAGATTTTAGGCAATGCCCAACAGGGTTTGTGCCAAATTCAGGAAAAAATTAAACTTTTTAGAGTGTTTGCGAGTTGGATAGAATGTGCTGTGTCTGCTTGGCGGTCTCCGGTCCTGCGGTGTAGAGGAGACGGTTTGCCCTGTTAGCCAGGGTCAGTGTCACTGCTGCTGCTTAGATGGGCTGAGAACAAACACTTCGACACATTTCCTTCCTGAGGTCGAATTGTCTTCATTAGTGACTCAGGAGCCAGGCAGCTTCCAGTCCTCACACGTAAGGTGCTGTGACGGCCCGGGCAGAGCTGGGGAGCTGCAGGCGGACGGCGGGGGAAGCAGGACGACACATTGCAGATGGGCTGCTCCAGGGTTCCCTTCCTTCAGGGGTGCGAGAGGAATCTTGTTGGCTTACTGGGATCTAACTCTCATCTTTCCTGGTTTCTCAGAAGGTGCGATCTTACAAGTAAACAGCTCGGGCTTCAGCCTTGTGTGAGAACCCGCTTCGGGGCCTGATGTCTTGAACAGATGGCCCGAGCGACCGCTGGGTCACGCGGGGTCCGGCCGTGGGCATGTTCAGAAGGACGTGCAGTGCAGCACACTGCTGAGCGTGCGTCACTTGGTGCCGGCCGGGACGTACACCAGCCTTCGCTGCTGTATGTGAATTCCCCGTGTCTCCATTTATAAATGATGCTTTAAAGTGCTTGTTATTTTAAAATTCTAAGTGAATGTATTAACTATTAGAATAAAATATGGGAAAGGTTCATGATATTAGATTCTCGCATATTATGCAAAAGCACAGCGAAAAAAGTTAAATTGGATTACATCAAAATCTAAAATTTGTGCCCCAAATGCACTATTACAGTGAAAAGGCAATCCATGAATCAGAGAAAATATTTGCAAATCATATATCTGCTAGGGAGTTACTATCCAAACTTTATAAAGATTATCTACAAAATTAGCAACAAATAATAAAAAAATGACAAATTGACAAAATGGGGTGGGTGTTGCAGCACAACAGGTTAAGCTGCCTCTTGGGATACCTGCGGCCCGTATCAAAGTGCCTGGTTCAGCTGGCACCGCGGCTCACTAGGCTAATCCTCTGCCTGTGGCGGCGGCACACCAGGTTCTAGTCCCAGTCGGGGCGCCGGATTCTGTCCCGCTTGCCCCTCTTCCAGTCCAGCTCTCTGCTGTGGCCCGGGAAAGCAGTGGAGAATGGCCCAAGTGCTTGGGTCCTGTGCCTGCATGGGAGACCAGGAGAAGCACCTGGCTCTTGGCTTTGGTTTAGCGCGGTGTGCTGGCCGCAGCGGCCATTGGAGGGTAAACCAACGGCAAAGGAAGACCTTTCTCTCTGTCTCTCTCTCTGTGTCCACTCTGCCTGTCAATAAAAAAAAAAAAAAAAGTGCCTGGTTCAAGACCCAACACTCTGCTTCTGATCTCGCTTCCTGCTAACGCCCAAAGTCTTGGGCTCCTGCCACTCATGTAGCAGCCCCAGATGGAGCTGCTGGCTCCTGGCTACGGTGGGCATTTCAGGACTGAACCAGCAGAAGGAAGACACCTCTCTGTCTCTGCTCTCTTTGTCACTCTACCTTTCAAATATCATTTAAAAAAATTAACAACTTGAATAGAGATTTTGCCAGAGGAAATTCACAAATGCCCAGTAAGTACATGAAAATACAATCCATACCGTTATTCATTAGGGAAACACATCAAAACCAGGTTGGGGCCCACTTCTCAGCTGTCAGGGCGAGAAAAGAGAGAAGGCTGGCTGTGGTGCGGAACGCAGCCGCCACCTGGGTGCTGGCACCGTGTGCGTGCCTGGCTCAGGTCCCAACGGCTCCACTTGTGATCCCCTTGTCGAGTTGGATACGCTTGGGAAAGCAGTGGAAGATGGCTGAGGACTTGGGCTCCTGCCACCCACCATCCCCGGCCATGGTGACCATTTGTAACAAATGGTCCGTTTGGAATAAACCAGTGGATGGACTTCTCTCCCTCTCCCTCTCCTCCCCCTGCCCCCAATAACTCTGCCTTTCAAATAAATAAACCTTTTAGAAAGATAAAAGAAGTGCCTGCTCAGATGTGAGGACATTGGCTGCCCTGCACCCTGCTGGTGGGGATGGAACAGAGACGCCCGCAGTTCCTCTCGTGGGTGGAAGGGGGGCAGTGGAGAGCAGGCACTAGGTGTGTACACGCGTGTCAGAGCGGGATCACCCACAGGAGCCAACAGGGGGGAGGGCCCACGCGTCCACTGATGGCCAGGGTGGATGGGCTGGAAGGCATCATACCAAGGAGAGGGAATCAGTCACAAACCAGACTCCGAGTCCCCTCTCTGAGGTCCTGGAGCAGAGGCGCCAGTCAGGGTGGAACGGTGGGGCCGGGGCTGGGAGGAGTTAGTGTCTCTGGGACAGAGCTTTAGTCTGGGAGAATGAAGGAGTTCCGGGGATGGGCAGTGGTGACTGGCTTACACTAAGTGTGTGAGCGCTTCACACACGCCGAAAACAGCCACGCTGGCAAGTGCTCACCACAACCTAAACGAAGCACTTGGAGGACTACAACTAAACGCTGCTTCTCCGTGCGTCCCGCGGTCTCGCTGGCCGCCCGCAGGGGCCGTGACTCAGGAGAAAGATGCTCTAACTGGAGCCCCTGGTTCCTACCTCAGAGGGGTGCTCTGAGTTTTAAGTGAGACCCCGGCTGTGCAGGCTGGGGAGCTCTCAGTCGGCCGTACCCCGTGCGGCTGTCTCCTCTCTCCCCACAAGCGCTGGGCCACCTGGCGTCCAGGAAGTTTCCGGAGAGTTGGTTCACTTCTGGCTCCAGACGGGATGTGCGCTGGGTGCGTGCTTTTCTGAGCCTCCGTTCTTGCATCTGCAAAGCAGGAATAAAATAGGGGCCGGTGGTGTGGCGTGGAGGGAAACCGCGGCGGGGAGTGACCCCCGATGGCGGAGCTGTCTCTCCCTCCTCTCTCTCTCAACTCTTCTTTTTGTTGTTGTTTAGATTTTTATTTATTTATTTGAAAGTCAGAGTTACACACACACAGAGAAGGAGAGGCAGAGAGAGAGAGAGGTCTTCCATCCACTGGTTCACTCCCCAACAGCCAGAGCTGTGCTGATCCGGAGCCAGGAGCTTCTTCCGATCTCCCACGTGGGTTCAGGGGCCCAAAGACTTGGGCCATCTCTCCTGCTTTCCCAGCCCATAGCAGAGAGCTGGATCAGAAGTGGAGCAGCCGGGACTTGAACCGGTGCCCATGTGGGATGCCGGCACTGCAGGCGGCGGCTTTACCCGCCATGCCACAGCGCCGGCCCCTAAACTCTACTTTTCAAATAAAGAAATACTTTTGTAAAAAGGAATAAAAAGACTGCTCCAGGCTATTGGTTTTTTAAGCTTATTTATTTATATTTATTTGAAAGGCAGAGGGCCAGAGAGTGCTTTCATCCACTGGTTTACTCCCCAAATGCCCACAACAGTAGGGGCTAGGCCAGGCCAAAGCCAGGAGCCCTGACCCTCATCCCGGTCTCCCACGTGGCTGGCAGGGACCCAAGTGCTTGAGCCAGGCACATCAGCGGGAAGCTGGATCAAAAGCAGACGTGGGATTTGATCCCAGGCTTCCCAATACGGGTGTGACTGTCCCAGGCTAGGGCTTAACGCACTGCCACATAACTCCTGCCGCTAGGCCATTTTTTAACTTTATAAGGAATGGTTTTCTTAGGTACTGTACCAGCAGTAACCATTGCCAAGACGCTTGCTCCTGCGTGTTTTTCTGATTTTGAGTGAAATGTCCCCTCCGCAGGGGAGCCGGGTCCAGCACCCCACCTCCAGCAGCCACCAGCGCTCCGGCCAGTAGCCCATTGCTGCTCTCCCCGGCGCTCCTCTCTGTGGGGTCAGTTTTTTCCCTTGCACTGACAGATGTTCTGTTTGCGTCCCCCAAACCCCGTGCCTGTTGTCCAGTCCAGTGCCAGGCACACAGCAGGCACTTGGGAAGCAACTGGGCTAACTAGACACTGCGCCAGTCCCCCGGGCGCCCCTCGATCCTCCTCCAGGTCACAGGGCAGGGCTGCCTTCCTGTTCCCAGAGAAACGCGGCCTTGGAGAGGTCAGCCCTCGTGCCCGGGGCTGCGGCTGCTTCAGTAGCAGCTCTGGGTGGGTTTCCTGCCTCCTGCTGCTCCGTGGCCTTTCGGCTCCTGTGCGAAGCCCCCCAGCCAACTGCAGTCTTCGTGAGAACAAGCGGAGCCTGCGGGCCTTCGTTCCGCAGCAGGTGAGCCCTGCCGGCGGGGCAGGGTGTTCTTGAACGTCTGGAGTGGCAGGTGTAGCAATGGGCCAGGGCTGAGGGCTTCTGTCTCCCTAAGGCTCGGGCGGTGCTGCCTCCCTGGCTCCCTCCTCAGTGGCCTCGGAGGCAGCCTGGAGCTGGCCTGCACCTGCATGGGGCAGGGCCCTTCGCACCTTGGCCTTTTTTCCTCCCTGGCCCCTCCACCATGGCCAAGCTGCTACCACCGTCCGTTGATCCCACAGGCCGTCCCTTCATTGTCAAGTGTCGCCTCTGGTGGCTCCTGCTCTGACTTCAGCCCCCAGAGAAGCCACCAGCTTTCCCTCGCGCTGGCCACGCTCTCTCCTGGACACAGCAGGGGCGCTCCAGTGACCTGTGTCCCTGGGCCTAGCATGGGCGGGGCCCAGTGTGGAGGAGTGGCAGGTTCCGTGGAGCTGGCTGTGTGACAGCTGCTCAAGCCCCAGGGAGGCCTCCAGGAGCAGGTGCCACTGCCCCGGCCCCTCCGCGCCGCGGTTGGCGGCCCAGGCCCCAAGCCTGGGGAGGATGAGACGTGAGGATGCGCACCCTCCCTCAGCCCGTGTGTGCTCACCCCACGGAGCTGTAGCAATTGCACAGATACCTGGGTGCACACCAAGATGTCTGAAAACCAGCTGGTTGGGAGGGGCCCAAGCTCTGCAGGGCCCAGGTCTCTGACCCGTGTCCCTCCCTCTGGCTGTGGGCAGGGCAGGCTGTTGTCCCCTAAGAGGATTAGAAGCTGTCCAGCCTTCTCCCTGGACAGTCCACACCTGATTTGGTGAGGCTGTGGTTTTGTTCCAACGTTATTTTACCTTAGGCTGAATTTTCCTTTATGGCAAAACCCAGGATCAGGTTTCTCTAAATGTAATCCATGCAGTAATCCAGGAGTACTTTGTTGAGGCAAAAAAAGCAAACCAGTTTTCAGCTTCCGTGATGATAACACGCAGAGCTTTGTGCCCTAAGTCAGTTCCCTGGATTATTTTCTGAACTTGCGAATGTGCTTCAGAGGAACGACGGGAGACCGCGAAGGTTGAGTGCTGAACGGCTCTCACCAGTTCAGGTGATATTGTGCAATGTGTGCTCACACCTATCCCACAGGTGCTGGCATGGTGGCACGGCAGGTAGAGCTGTTGCCTCCCCGGCAGCCATCCCGTATGGGTACCTGTTCGAGTTCCCACTGCTCCACTTCCTATCCCGCTCCCTGCTAATAGCCTGGGAAAAGCGGCGGAATACAGCCCCTGCCACCCACGTGGGAGACCTGGAAGAAGCTCTGACCCTTGGCTTTTTGGCCTGGCCCAGCCCCAGTTGTGGCATCCAGGGAGTGAACCAGCAGATGGAAGATCCCTCTTTCTTTCTTTCTCTCTCTCTCTCTCTCTCTCTCTCTCTGTCTTTCCCTCCCTAACTTTTGACTTCCAAATAAATAAACACATCTTTAAAAAATTCCATCCCATAATATAGCCATAAACACTTTGCTACATATGGAAGGTAAGTATTTATAATCTGTCATTTTGCATTTTCTTCATAGTTGCTCTAAGTAAAATATTGATGTAAAGGCAAATATAAATAAAATGAAAATATCAATAAACCAAAATGCACCTTGTAAGATCAGTAGCTCTGTATTGGAATGGGAAGCGTTAATTGCATCTCGTACACACCTGTCCCTGCTTCTCATTGCCCAGTGGTGTTTGTTGGCTGCCGTATTCCAGTGCACTTGCCAGGTCGCGCTTTGTTTCTTTAACAGTGGATTGAAATCTGAGCGTGATGTTTTATATTTCATCCTAAATTTTTTTATTTTCCAGGATATGAAATCACATTGGTTATGTTTGATAATCCATTTTTGGCATGTATTTTCATATAAATTATGGGGTGTTTTTGCCTCTCAGTCCTTACAACATAGTAAGGAGAAAGCCCCCAGCATGTGGAAATATGACTGATGCCACGCTGGTGTATGGGTTAGAAATAATAAGGATTATAAATGACTCACTGGGTGCAGGAAACAAGAGGAGAAGACTTATTGGGGGAGAAGTGTAAAAGCTTGCTCGGTTTATGCACAGCTGAAGGAAGGCACCGTGAGAGATAGATTACAGTCCCCCTCTCTATTATTTCTAAGGCAGTTTTTATTAACCCCTTTTTATCAATCAAAATGAATTGATTGCCTGTGGATGCAATATTTTCTGACTATTTGAAATTATAAAGCAAACGCAAAAACACAGACTCACCTACTACATTCTCTGAAAAATAAGAGACAAATTCCCTCCAAAGGGATTGCTAAATAATGTTAACACTTTTTATGGCCACCCCTTAAAACACAACATTTCATTTAAGGATAGGATTAGGCCTTGGGATTCCTTTGGAATTTGACTTTGCCCAGCTGTGTTAGTGACCAGGTATTGCAGACACTGTTACTTAATATTTATACCCCATCATAAAAGGACATCTTTCTGTAGGGTAAACATGGTTATGGCCGATAATAACTGGGTCCTGGATAAGGAATGATAGAACAGCCTGATTCAAGGAAGAGAAAATGAGAGGTCAACCAAGCTGTGAGTCGCCGCCAGCAAGGGGCACAGGCCCTCGGAGCTCTGATGCAGTGACGGGCGCGTGCAGAAACAGGACGCCCGGCTCTGGCCTCTGGTCACAGCTCGGACTCCAGAACAACCAGCTGGGTGTCATGGAGCTGTGACTTCAGGGTGTGTGTGTGTGTGTGTGAGAGAGACTATGTGCACCTGTGTATCTATGTGTGTGCCTGTATGAGCACCTGTGTGTCATGGAGCTGTGACTTCAGGGTGTGTGTGAGAGAGACTGTGTGCACCTGTGTATCTATGTGTGTGCACCTGTGTTGTGCACCTGTATGAGTACCTGTGTGCACCTGTGTATCTATGTGTGTGCACCCGTGTTGTGCACCTGTATGAGCACCTGTGTGCACCTGTGTGTCATGGAGCTGTGACTTCAGGGTGTGTGTGTGAGAGAGACTGTGCACCTGTGTATCTATGTGTGTGTGCACCGTATGAGCACCTGTGTGTCTGTGTGCACCTGTGTGTTGGCCTGTGTGTGTACACCCCTATGTGTGTGCTCTCAGTGTCCCAAAGACCTCTGCACCCTGAATTCCTTGCACAGGTAGGAGGGGCCCATGGGGCCTGGCGCCCACTGGCTGCCCTAGGAGGTGACACCTGCATACCAACCAGCCTGAAGGCGAGTGCCCAGCCCAGCAGAACAGAGGGCCCTGTGCATTCAAGGCTCCCAGTGTCTGGAAGGTCCTTGGGATATGAGCCCTGGGAACCACACTGCCCAAAAGAGCTGGAATGGTTGGGACTTCCTGAGTCTCTAAGGAATTACTTCCGATTGTATCAATGGTTCGTGACACCAGGGAAGCTCATATGTGTCCTTAGTTTCTTAAATATGAAAAAGAATTACAAACATGAGCAGAAAACCAGCTCTCAATGGACTTGAAGCAGGAATATGCATACATGTACACACACACATTGTTTATACACAAAACATTTGACCCAAACAGGAGAGAA